AGCTGATTAGCTGTTTGTCGGCTCAGCGCGGCAGCCATGTAAATGTAAATGAAGCCGCGATCATTTAAATCACGGCTTCATTTGCCTTTGCCAAAACAACGAATCTACATGCCTCTGACGACAGAGGCATGTAGTTTAGACTTACCCTCATTGAGCTAGCATGTGTATAAATAGCAGCAAAGCTGCTGTTGCATGTATAAGGGCAGGTGGGAGGGTAAGGTTGAGTAATGCCTGAAACCAATGGGTAGGTGTTTGGTACAACTCAGCTGTATTTCATCTGCCAATACCCGTACTCTTGTGCCTACAATGCCATTTGTTTTATAAGAGCTAGTGCCAGTAGGAATATGTGAGCAGGGGAATTGCATTCTTGGCTTGCAGTATAGACACAAGGGATAACTGGCAGGGTTTGCAGCCAAGGAGCACTACTTGTTCTACCCAGTCTGCTTTTCATTGAGTGGACACAAATCTTGAGAGTTAGGGAAAAAACAATATCTCTATTTCCCTGTGTCCTGTTCTGTCTGCCCATGTAGTCCAGGGGGAAAAAAATGCTTCATTTATAAAACTGGAGTTTTTTATTTAAATTAAACAGCAATTTATGTTCTTAAAAATAAACAGTTAAAATAAAACTTGTATTTATGACAACCTATGTCGAGACAAAAACGTACTGTGACTTATTCATTTAATTTTTTTAAATGGTATATTTACTGCCAGGTTTTAAAGAAAACCAGACTGTTGTGCTGGTAGAAGTCACTGGCACATCACCTGAAACCAGAGTTTGTTGAAGTGGAAACAAGCTTTGGACAGCAGGTGCAAAAAAAAAAAAAAAACTGAAATGAAGAAAATATTCTACTTGTTTAGTTCAAGGATTAGTTTATTCAAAGTTCAAAAACAATTGGGAGTTGAAGAAACAGGAAACTTGTTTCCTTCTTCCAGTCTGTGAAAAAAACTAAGTGTGAGATAGTGAAATCTAGTCATTCTAAAATCCTGAAGGCTATGGTGACCAGAAATCAATTCAGTTCACTAACTATGGATACTACTTCCATTGTTTAATTAGTTTTAAATACAAAATATGTTTATCTAAACTCTTTTCTTATGTGTACAGCACATTTGAAGTTTATATTAATTGAATAAAACTAAATGTAAAGTGATTATTTTGTGCATTTTAATAGAATTTGAATTTCCATACAAGCTTAACTCATATCAGAAATAAAAAATTATCCATCTAGCAAATGAGAAATGAATTATTCACCATTTTCTGACAATGAAAAATTAAAAGTACAGAATCTGAATAACTGTAAATTAAGCTACATAATAAATGTGTATAAATATAGTGTATCTTCTTGTTAGTAAAGAGAAGCACTACACTTCTAAAGTAAACTAAAGACTATATCGGTTTGCAAAGCAGCATGTTTCAATGCTTCCCAATCAAGGAGATTCAGCCTTTCTTGGGAAAATAACTGCAAAATACAAACCCAAAACAAGATTAAGATAAATTTAAATCAAGACTTCCTGCTTGCTGATTTAAGTAATGATTAAATTTGTTGATTTACATTACTTGGATTTGCACCAGTCTGCCCTGGCTATTGTGAGGACATCAATACGTGCCTGTGTTCTTGGACCTGTTTGCAGCATTTAATACCATTGACCATGGCAGGTTGAAGGAAAAGGTTACAAAGAATGGTGGTGGGCATCTGGTCCTTTGGTTCTAGAGTCCTGAGTTGTGGAGTCTCAAAGGTTCAGTTCTTTCCCCCATTCTTTTAAACATCTACCTGAAGCTCTTGGGAGGCAATCATAAAATGCCATGGCCCTGGGAGCCATCAGTGCGCAGGGGATACCCAGCAAAACATCGCTTTTACATTTGACACAAGCAGCACAGTCTTCCAGCTGTCCTTTCTGCTTACAGTAAGTACCTGGATGGAAGGCAGCTGGCTGAAATAGACACCAGGCAAGATGGAGCTGATGACAGCGGGGAGAGCAAAGCACTCTGATCACTATCCCTATAACTCTCCCTTGACAGGCTCCAGCCCAGATTAATAAATCAGCCTACACTATAAGACTCCTTGCTGTTTGTCATGATTATGAGGGTTAGCCAGCAGCCAGGGAACTAAGGGGTTAACATTATCTAAGTCAGGTAGATTCAACCAATAGGAACGTAAGTAAGAATTTCAAACTGGGACAAAGGAATTTTTGGTTTTTCCCTCCTTTGTCCTGGGTAGTTTCTCTTCAGCTATTGAGGGGGACAGATACTATGTCTCCCTCCAAGAAAAGATTGTTCACTATTTGTAAGTAGGGTAAAGTTTAGATAAATCCATTAGGTTTTATAGTTTTATGGTTTGGGAAATGGGATCTGATGTCTGTGCATTTTAAAATGTCTTTTTGCTCTCTTTTGTAACTAAGTTCTAGGCCCATGGTGGGGTTCCCCCATGAGTATATTACTTTATGACTTTTCCATCTAGTCATGCTTGCAACAGGAATATTGTGATGATAATAAAAGTTCTTTCTCTTTTCTTTCATTAACCTAGTATTAGTTAATTTTTGTGTCCTGGTTTGTACTTTAGGGGTGAGATTTCCCAAGTAGTCTCTCCCTGGTTTCTTTAGCATTATTTGGGTGGTGGCAGCGGAGTTTTTTTCCCAAAAATCTAGGTTTTTAAGATTTTGGGGGGAAGTTTTTTACCAAAGCCTGGAAAGATAAGTTTTTGGAGTACTTTTGCGGGCCCCCACTTCTACATTTATCATGTCAGAGTGGGGAAGGAGCCATGACACTGGTACTGTACACGTTTCAATGTACAAACATTGAAATCTTCATTTAGTCCAGAGTGCAATAGCATAGCTCCTCCTCTGCTCCAGGCACCAGGAACAGCCTGTTCCCCAGGCTCTGACCAGCACACAGGCTTCTCAGAGAAGAGTGTTAATCCAGTGGGAGTAGAATCAAGCAGAAAGCTGAGGGACCAGAACGTTGAGGGACCAGACTAATAATGCTAATGTGCCCAGTTCTGAACATGCACTGGTGTAAATCAAGAGTCACTTTGCTGAAGTCATTGGGACTGATTTTCCACTCTGACTTGGTAACATTTTGCACCTACTGGGCACTCTACACGGGTGTGTAAAGTGGTTCACTAATTGTAAGTCCGTGGAAGATCAGGCCTTAAGGGCATGTCTAGACTACCCTCGACTTCTGAAAGAAGATATGCAAATTTGGAAGAGGTTTTTTCAAGGAAAAAAAAAGCAGTCTAGATGGGGGTTTTCATGTAACCTCCCACCCCTTTTTCAAAAGAACCCTTATTCCTCAAAAAATTAGGTTTATAGAGTTCTTTCGAAAAAGGAGGGGGTTGTGCAAAAAACCCCATCTAGATTGCTTTTTTTTTTCTTGAAAAAACCTCTTCCAAATTTGCATATCTTCTTTCAGAAGTCGAGGGTAGTCTAGATGTGCCCATAAAGAATAAGTGAAGACATGGTACAGTACACAGTATTGCCTTAAACTGGACCTAGCCCAACATTTTAGGGTCTGATTCTGTACTGCCTTATTGCTAATCAAAATGGTGTTGTCTATACCCCTTTGCATAAGTGGAAATGACCACTTAAAGTCAAAGGACGTGGAGAATCTGGGGGACTCAGAGTTAAGTTGATGTTTAAATTAAGGATGTTAAATTGTGGTTATCTGGCTAATCGTGTAGTCAATACAATTTGTATCGACTACACGATTAATCAATATGGACCGTGCTGCAGAACTGCAACAGAGGTAGCTCCAGGAGCCGTCTCGAACTGGAACTGAGCAGTCCCTGCTCATGCTGGCTCCAGGAGACACCCATGCGGGTGCCCTGCATTTGAAATGTAGTAAGAGCTGCCCACGTCTTATTATATTTAAAATGAAGAGGCGCAGCGTCCCAGACCAACGCGAGCTAAGGCTGCTCGATCCTGGCTTGTGCTGAGTCCGGCAGCCCTTGTTTGTGGTGGCCAGCCCTGGAACACCCTGCCCCTCCTCCTTCTCTCCTTCTCCCCCATGGACAGGGGCTGGTGCTGGAGTAGCCTCTGGCCACGGTGAGCCTTGGCCCACCAGAGGCAGAGACTGCTTCACACAGCCACCCCCATATCCCCTCCCTGCTGTCTCTGATAGAGGCAGCAGGGGAGGCAGGCAGCACCATGGAGACAGTGCTGGGGTGGGACCAGCTTTTAAGCCGACTCCTCCCAGCACTGGCTCCTGATCCCTCCCCACCCTCCACTGCATCTCATAGAGGCAGCAAGTGGGTGGGGAAAGTGAGTAGTTGATACTCCAGTTGACTACCCAATAAGCTTATTCTTAATATCCCAAGTTTAAAGCAGAGTGAGAGGAGGATCAGGACCAGAAAGTCTGCAAAAGAGGAATGTATTGCAGAACTGTGGTCTTCTCATGTGTTTTGGGGGGGCTCTCGTACCATGGTGGGGATTAGGGATGTTAAGAAACAAATAATCAGCTAATCGTGTAATCGACAGAATTTCTATTGACTACATGATTAGTCAATAGGGTTGGAAGCCTCTGGGAGCTACCCCCTGCTATGGCTCTGCAGTTTAAATGTAGTAAGAGCAGTCCAGTTCCTACTATATTTAAACTGCACACCCATAGCAGGGGTAGCTCCTGGACCCAGCGTGAGCCAGTCCTGAAGCGGTCTGGCTTAGTTCCGGCTTGCGCTGGGTCTGGTGCAGAGAGCCCTGAGGGAAGCAAAATGCGCTGGGCAAGCCTGGTAAGAGGCAGCCGGCAGGTGAGTTTCATTTGGGACGTGCCTGTGGGGCGCGGCCGGAGTCGACTTACCCTCATTGAGCTAGCATGTGTATAAATAGCAGCAAAGCTGCTGTTGCATGTATAAGGGCAGGTGGGAGGGTAAGGTTGAGTAATGCCTGAAACCAATGGGTAGGTGTTTGGTACAACTCAGCTGTATTTCATCTGCCAATACCCGTACTCTTGTGCCTACAATGCCATTTGTTTTATAAGAGCTAGTGCCAGTAGGAATATGTGAGCAGGGGAATTGCATTCTTGGCTTGGTCCTCGACTCCTGGCTAAGTGCCAGGCAGCCCTGGCTGCTTCCCCACCTGCCATGTGTGAGTGGGGTTCCCACCAGCCCGGCGTGTGGGTTAGACAGAGAGCAGAGCCATGACTGAGCCACTCCCAGAGCAGCTGGCTCGTCCCGGGTCTGGGGGAGGAGGTGGAATGCAAGTAGAGTACTCGAGTACTTGACTGACTACCCGATAGGCTTATCGGATAGTTGAGTACTCAACTGCTCTCTTACGTCCCTAGTGGGGATGGCAGAGGAGCAGGGAAAGAAGTAGTTGAAAATACCAGGTGAAATTCTGGCTCCACTGAAGTCAAAGGGAGTTTTGCTGATGACTTCAGTAGAGCCAGGATTTCATTCACAGTCTGTAAAATAACAAATCTAAGTATCTAGCCAAAACTGAAGAGTACTGTACTTTTATCTGCTATAAATAGGTGTCAGTGTAGCTAACATCATTTCTGCTTTGCTTGTTGTTTGTAGTTGGGAAGCCTATCCCGGTGAAACAGAATTTAAATCCCACTCTTGAAGAGATCGAGCAGCTGCATCAGACGTACCTGCAAGAACTAAGGACATTATTTGAAGAACACAAAGAAAAGTATGGCATACCAGACCATGAATCTCTCTCCTTTAAATGAATGCAAATTCAGGGAATCCAGATATAAGAAAGTGGCCTTGTGATGAAACAAAACATTTCTCAGTCTGCAGCTACTCTTTACAAGAAAACTGTGTATGCTGGATTAAATTGATAGAATCTCTTCCTATCTTCTCAGTCATGGAAAATCCTTCTTCATGTAGGGTCTGGTCCTGCAAACCTGTCTGTATGAGTGAACCCTTTGGCTTCACTAAAAATTGTAAGTACTTTTCCCATGACTGGCTTAGCAGCTATGTCAGTGAGAATGCTAATGGAGATAGAACATAGGTGTAAATTAGACATATTGAAAGTGCAAATGAAGCCGGGATTTAAATATCCCGCGCTTAATTTGCATAATTGTGACCGCCGCTTTTTTCCGAAATGGGGCTTTTTGGAAAAAAACCCGGCAGTTTAGACAGGGCATTTTTGACAGAAATGCCCAATTTCAAAAGATCCTGTACTCCTCATTTTTTGTAATAATCTGTTTACAGAATATGCCTTGTGAGGTATCATTTGAAAATCCATAATTTGCTGATCATTAATATTCTTCTGTGATGTATGTATGTGGCAGGCAGGCAGTTATGATTATATGCTGGAATTATGACTAAAGTGTGTGTAAACCAAGTATATTGGGAGAGTTGTTAAACATATCTATCAGAAACAAAGGAATGGATGTTGTCTCAATGTATAAGCAATAAACGGGACCATCAGGACATCACGGGGAGGAGATGGCAAGAAACAGAATAATTTGCATTTCAGCAAACACAAGCAGGGGAAGGAAGACCATGGAGCTTCCTTCATTACCAGACTCCATGTTGCCTTCCTCACAACTTGAATAATTTTTACTTTGAGGGGTGATCTTTGGAAGAATGCATTAGAAAAGTTTACTGAATGGGGACTGAACCTCCTGTGTTAAACAACTGAATCAAATAATTGTATGCTATGTTACGGTATTATACAGGTTTACAGGTCTTTTCTGAAATCTAATGACACATCAGTGATTAATATAATTATGAAGTGTATGATTCACGTTGTACAAGAAAATGTTGCTATTTAATGATATTATGTTTTCCTTTCTGTAGCCAAACAGAGAAGAACGATCTCAGAGGGGTAGCCATTTTAGTCTATATCTGCAAAAACAACAATGAGTCCTGTGGCACCTTAGAGATGAACAGATTTCTTAGGACACAAGCTTGCTGGGTAAAACCCACTTCCCACATAAGTTTATGCCCTAATAAATCTATTTGTCTCTAAGGTGCCACAGGACTCCAGGGAGAAAGAGGTTTTCTCCCAGACAGGAGCCCAGGCAGCTATATAACATAAGCACGGTGGAATCCAAACAGTGGAAGCTCCATTTACATACAGGGAGATGGAAAGCCCACAGGAAGGAAAGAACCTCCTGAGGCTTCCTGCCTCTTGAAGTAAAGTCACTAAACTTGGGGAGATGTAAGCAAGGACAAAAGTCATTTTCGGCATCCAGCACTCAACTGGCACAAGGGAAAAGAGATCTTGCAGCTGAGAGAGGTGGATCATTCAAACAAGAAGGAGTTTTTTTTACCTGAATATAGGTGAGAAATCATCTTGAGAAAAGTATTTTGCTGGATCTTAAACTTTAAGATGCATTTTCACTTTTATTTGCTTGTAACTCTTTCTAATGTTATGCCTTTTACTTGGCATCACTTAACCTATGTCCTCTTGTTAATAAACTTATTTTTACTATAAAACAACTTGCTGCTGTGTTTAAATGGAAGGTATATTTACCCCTGTTACATTAATAATCTGTGTGTGATGGGGTGAGGTCACAGAAGTCCCTTCAGGAGTGCCTCGGGGGTTGCTGACATGGCCATTGCCACTTACCTTCCTGCTCTCTGGGGCTTCTCACTGCCAGGCCCTGCTGGGCCAGTCCCTGGTCTCCCCCAGCCACGGCACTAAGCTGAGGTCTCTGCTCCTCCCCCCGAAGCAGTACAGACTTCAAATCCCTCTTCAAGTACCCTCTTCAAGTCCGAGGAGAGTGCAGTTTAGGGTCTCTGCCCCTCCCCCCCAAACCAGTACAGACTTCAAGTCCCTCTTCAAGTACCCTCTTCAAGTCCGAGGAGAGTGCAGTTTAGGCCCCAGCTTCTCGGGATACCACTCCTCAAATGGGATCAAAACCCACAATGAGTTACCTGGTAAGCTCCCTTTAGTAGTGAAAGGCAGAATGTGCACACTGGTTGCCTCTCCAGGTAACAATGATTTACACTGGGTTTGATAGAAAATAAAAGTGATTTATTAAGTACAAGCAGTAGGATTTAAGTGGTAATAAGTGAGAACAGGCAGAGCAAAGTAGGTTACAAATCAAAAGAAACAAAACGCGTAGCTAATTCTACACTGAAACCTCAGTACAAACTTACTCAAACTCACCCTAAAACCTCTTTTCCACAAGCCCCTCCAAATTAGGGCTGTCTTCCCACTATGGGGTCTTCGGCTCCTTTCCTCAGGTTCAGCCCAGTCAAAGGACAAAAACCTCCTACCTTCCTATTCTTTTAAGAATTCCCTTATTGTATGGGAAGTCACCTGGCCACTCCCTACCAACCATGGCTAAGCCTTAAGGACCAAAGGCTATTTGCATATTATTGCCCTGACACTGAAGCCTCCCTTAATGACATTCATTCACACTTTTAAAAATCAGAAAGTATTCCCTACTCCATATGTCTAATTTTACACACAAGGATGATAGACACATCAACGTAAGATAAACAGAACCAGTGGATCATGACATGAAGATTGACAGGTTACATGAAATAATTTGCTCAAAGCCCCTTTGAGTTATGTATATTTGTGTCCCTGGTGGGGGGGGTTTCCGTCACACTGTGATGTGCTATTGCGTCTTCAGAGGGACAATCAGAACTTGTTAGTCCTCTGAGTTGTCCAAGAGAGGGCTGGACCTTCCAGAGTACATAGTTTTGAGAAAAAAGTTTCAGAGGGGTAGCCTAGTTAGTCTGAAACAGGAAAATCTTAAAAAACAACAAATGGTCTGGTAGCACTTTGAAGACTAACAAAACATGTAGATAGTATCATGAGCTTTCGTGGGTACAACCCACTTCTTCAGATGCCTCTAGTCTACTGAAGAAGTGGGTTGTGTCCACCAAAGCTCATGATACCATCTACATGTTTTGTTAGTCTTCAAAGTGCTACCAGACCATTTGTTGTTCTTTAATTTTTGAGAAAGGTTAGCATAGGGAGTGCGTTGGGGTCACCCTGCAGGCAGTCACCAAGGCTGATGGAAGCCAGAGTTGGAATGTAGACATGCTGCTGGGACCAGAGCTGTTGAACTAGGGCTGTCTACTATGCAGACACCTCTGGGTGTGACCAGCACGCTGATTGGCCAGTTGGGAGAGCTGCAGATTGGGAGCTACAACAGCAAAGCTTCGTGAGGGTTGCAAGGCCATCGGTGCCCCAAGCCGAGCCCCGTCGCTAATCCCCTTGCCCTTTTTCTGTTCTCAGGCTGCAGCTGCCGTGGTGAGAGCTGGCACTGCTGCTGTCTGGAGAAGCAGCTGTTTTCTCTGTAGACAGATTGCTGGCAAACTGTCAACAGTTACGTCTTCCTTTCTGTTCCTCCTGGAAGCCACGTATACTTATTTCTCATTGCCAGGCCTTATGCAGTTTTGTAACTGCTGCTGTGTTAAAAAGCCCCTGGATTCCTGGTGCAACAGACTCCTCTTTCTGGGATGAGGTTCTCTCAGTGGGGAGAGAGGTGCAGGGCTGTGC